GAGTGAATTGACTTATGAGCTCGCTAGCAAAATTACATGACACAATTTGGGCTTTTTGATACCATACATCACCTTGTACTTTCGAATAGTAGTTATGAGATGTTTTAATGCAGTAAGGATATATTTATGCAGCATGCCACTCACGTGAAGTATTTGAATTTCAGAAATACCCGCGAGAGCACTCTCGGAGGGTAGGTTGGATACCCGAATACGAGCAATTAAGGCCTAGTAAAATGAGGAGTGCTGAAGCATGGAGCCGGGAAGGAGGAAGAGGAGGGTAGGGAGCATTAACTGAACACTCTGCTCGGTTAAATGAAAAACAGGAGGTGAAAAATCAAATGAACGAAATCAAATTGCCTAGAAAGTCCAAATTGGAACCCCTCCACAGTCTGAAGACAGCCGTATTAACCAGGCTAACTAGACTAGGTATACAAAGAAGGATTTTATTTTCATAGTCATTGTGAACTGAATTTGTGAGAGCCCCATGATCGCGTTGTTATAGGTGACAGAACGCAAAGTTGACAACAGAGAAACAATAGAAGAAATAAAATCAAGAAAGCAACCAAGAAATAGTAAAGCTGGACAATTCAAAAGTGTAATCTCGTTGTTTTTTGGCAGTAGTTATTATTAGCTAGGCTAGCTGAGTTCCTGAAAAAAAGTAGAAAGAAAGCGAATCAAAGAAAGGGTAGCATGTACAGTTTATTATAAAAGCGTAGGGTAGAGAAAATGAACTGAGGCTATCATCGCTTATAATACTAGCCATAGGCACTGGCACTTCTGAGCAGCTAATTGTAGTAGTCCAATTTCTAGTTTTTATTGTTGTAGCGACTATGTGGACAGTGTCGGCTGGTTTTTGCGGTCGCCGCCACCACCCCCGCCGTTGTCATTCACGGATATGTTAATGTATGCATAGGTATACCGGCAAGGATGCACTAGCTCCTTATTTCTGCAGAGCAAACATCGCCTTTCCGGCCTAGGTCGTCAGCGTGCACGCGCTCATTTTGGGAGTGAATAGAAAAGGGGGGGGGGGGCGCTTATCGTGACGACGATCAGCGCGCGCCTTGTGCCCCCACAAGCAGGCGAGAGCTTCTACGGGTTGAGCTCTCAACATGAAAAAACGGTGCCGTAAGTGTTCTTGGAGCGGCCGTGTTCTCTTAAGGCGAGTTTATTCTAGAGAGACGCGACACCAATTTTGGTCGGCTGACTGTCTTTGGGAGTGTCTTTTGTCTTGTCGTCGTCATATTTACACTACAACGACGCAGAAAGTCTTCCAATGGTTTCTGGCAGACTACATTCATGCCCTGTCGTGCGCACAGTCATTCATTGGCCATTTTTGTAGCCACACTGGAGACACGCGCAGCGACACCGACTAAACTTGCACACCTGCACATCAGTTCTAGCCATGCTTCCTGCTCTGCCATTGTCCCTCTCCGGCTACACGGCACAGCCCCCGCCATAATCCAAGGTATCGGGGGACGGGGGTAGGCATACACAAAAGGGAAGCGAAGACTTTCGTGGGATGTGCGAGATGCCTATACAAACGTCGTAGAAGTCTCGGAGGGGGCATTGTTATTTTCCCCAAGATTTCCTTCTTCGTGGTTACTTGAAGCAAAGACAGGCAAATTTTCGCTCAGCCACAGATCTCCTGACGACACGCTGACGACAGGTCTGCCGATGCGTTTTGCTGGTATCATCAGTCTGTCATTATATTATACTACGATGACATGCTGTTTTCTGAGGTGTCGTCGTCGTCGTTAGCCTAGTGTGATCATGAGGTCTCGAGACTTCGTTGATGGGCGACTCGTTGGCTGATACTCTGCGTCTACCTCGTGTCTTCGTCGGGGTCGTGTCAATGTCGTATTGCTCTGGTTGAAAGACGTCTTTACACCCCCATTTTGTAGAGGTACTTGAGATCGTATTCGAGACTTGCTTCGTAAAAGATTCGAATATGTTGCTATAGCATGCATTGCTTCGCCCTTTTGGCAAATCTGTGACTGTTTTAGCTGCAGTGAAACATTGTGGTTGATAGCGCCGAGTACGTGTAAAGGAAGAGGGGCTGCAATGTCTCATTGACGGAAATATTCGCTTCAACACTATTCTTTCTCGTTATCGTTCGATGTCTAGCGTAGTCGTTCACCAGCCTTGTGCCCGAAAGTCACGCAAAGACGAGACAGGAAAATCGCGCTTACGCCTCCCCCCCTCCCCAGATGGTTTAGCGCCCATCGTGTGGCCACGCGGCCATCAATGACCCACGGGTGGCTTAATCTTTTGCTATTAGGATACAAGTTCACCCGATAATTGTTTTTAACTTACTGCCGACGTGGTCTTTGTTTCCTCTTTCTCGCCGCCGTCCACCACACCACCAATCACGTGACAATGGTTGGAGGCTGCGATGTGTGCTTGACCCCCCCCCCCCCCCTGACACCATTTTTTTCCCACGTCTAGCTTTTTCAGGCACATTCCAATTGTATAGTATTCCTGCCCAGTCACCACATTGCACATTCTTCCAGATAACTTCTTGCGCGTATGGCAGTTTTTAAAGTTCCCGAAGTTTGCTCTGTTTACTTCGTACAAATGTCTTCCGATCCAGATCCTTCAGCACACACTTTAACGCCTAACCGCAGCTTACCACAATGCCTACTACAGATGCACTGTTACGTTTTCCATCTTCCTCACAAAGCGTCTGTGGTATCTGGCACGAACTGGGAAGCCTTGGCTAGTGGTGCGTCTTCCGAAGAGAAGCAGTTGGGAGCTCGGTTTGGGTCGATTGACTTTAAAATGGGCTTCTAGAGATCTCACTCGCGATTCCGGTCTAAACGAAGTTCGGCTGCCCAAAACAGAGTGCCGCGTTGAGTAAAAGTAAAGAGGAGGTGAAAAGGCTGCAAGAGGACGGACACTATGGAATTCACAATGTAAATCGCTTAGAAACGCGACTGTCCTGCCGGATGTAGGTTACTACAGACCTTAGAAATATCTACTGGTGTGAAGCAAATGCTGTTGACAGTGAAGTAAAAAAAAGGAAACCAGGGGGAAATAGAGCTGTGCGTCAAAGATTGCACTAAAATAAAACAAACGGAAGGCTATGAAAAATAGCGCTTTAGCATTTCACCACCATGAACTAAGCCAGTATATTCGATGAAGCCGTTGTAATTTATCGGACCAGCAGAAGAAGGAAGCTCAATGAACTAAAGAATAAAACAAGTGATATTGCATGAAGTTGTAGAATAGAAATAACTTGCAGCACTTACAGCATTTGAACCTCACCTATGGCTTGATAAATGATACTCGTCTGTTTTACTTGATAGGTACAGGTTGCAATCTTTGAAAATACATACATGTTGTGCACATCGCAAGCATGTCGAGTCAATCACAATGGGAAGTTGCTAAATACGACAAACTAATTTTTGGCCCCTTTGTATCTGCAGGTAAGCTCAGGATGACTTGAACATTTTTTTTTTCAATTTGAATTTCTTGAGTGCTTCTGAATTAGCGAATACGCGTCAAGTTACCGAGCGATCACTGAGAGTTCAAACCTTCCAAATCCAGAAATTTAAAGCAGCGCCTATAAGTGCATTTAGTGATCATTAGAACACCAGAAATAGCAAAATTCGCTTCACCAAAAACTCGTATTTTCTGCGCATCAGCACGTTCGCTAACCTAACCCACTTCGTTACAAGGTAGTAACTTGGTTTCTTGTGGTACGAAACACAATGACTGCTTCAGTCCGCCCCTTTGCTTACGTTTCATGAAAGCAATTTCATTTCTTACTTTTTTATCACATTTGTCTTTTGAAAAATAGACATGGTTGATAAAACTTTTTACGTTACTTGAAAAAGTCGTCCATAAGATAATCAGTTTTCGCAAAATGTCCCAGAACTCAGCAGGGGCAAATAAATAACTGTATGTTAAACAAATGGGTACAATTCCGAGTACTATACACTTTCTAATATGGGAAACTTGTCAAGTTGTATCATATCATGGTGTTTCCGGAGGGTGTGATAAAACAAAGATTGCCCATTTCGAAGCGTCAGATCACGTTATTTGAATTATTGCGTAGAGAGCCTGTTCGCGGGCATATGTTGCTTACACAACGTTGTAGCATAATCTAAGAAAGCCAGAAGACTTTGTATGATTGAGCGAAAATAGTACGTTAGAACTAAGTAATTTAGTGCACCTACTTCAGTATATACAATCTGGTTGAGTTCTCATGAGGTGGCAGCAGCTATTTGAAAACGAGTAGAAAGTGCACAAACTCGAGCTTCATCTTCAAAAGTAGAATGCGAAAGCGGTATGGGTATCTGCCGAACGCCTTCCTAAATGCTATCCTTGCTTTGGTTCTTTACGTATGGCTTAACAGTGCCGTAAGAAAACGTACGTCTGTACAAAAAACATCGGCCATTGGAACTATCCTAGAATCCCTACTGCAAGTACAGTTTGTAAGTGCCCTCTACGCCTTAATTCTTTCTTTTGCTAATCGTCGTAGAGACCTTTATGCGTTCGTTAGGCAGCTCCTCACTGTGCTAGTTATTTTGCAGATTATGAATTAAAAGTAAAAGATGTCTGAGTGCTTCTAATGGGTGGACGTCTCGGAAAAAAACCCACTCTTTGCGCATTTGACATGTCGTTGTGCCTGGTGTGATTACACGCTTGGGCCACACAATTGCATGCTTTATGGAGACTTCAAGCACTGCTAGACACTAATATTACGTTTTTGTTTTTAAGCAGTAGCTTAACGCAGTGGGTTGGCTCTGTGGTAGATCACCTGTTTGCCACGCAGCGGGCCTGTGAAATGGCACTTGAGTAGAGAATAATTTGTTTGCATTTTTCGCTCACGGACAACGTGATCTTCTTTTTCATAGCCAACGACACCGACGTCGATTCCTACCACGCAATTTTTGGGAAACAAACTTCTTAATGGCATTGCGTTAATATTGTCTCCATGCATTGAATCACAAGTTGAGCTAATCATACTCCACCACATTTTTCTTTCTTCCGTTCAGATGGGAGAGACTGACTGGAGTTGACAATGGGAGCCCCCACAATCCCATCGTCGTTGGAAGCTCGAGACACGAACCGACTGAAGGATCGCTGTTAATCCGCAAGGTGGAACCGCGGGACGCAGGAAAATACCTGTGCCTGGTCACCAACGCGGTGGGCGAGGAACGGGCAACCATCACGCTGAACGTGCGATGTGAGTGGTCGGCCTCTATATATATACGCCACTCTCATGCTTCCACACTCGTCTAAGCAATCCCCGATATTCGCCCTTGTGATCAGTGTTCAATAATCATCGGTGACCGCCTTGTGCTCGTAAATTGTGGCACACTCAAGAAAACATTCATTACATGGCGTTCCTTTCAAGCGCACAATCAACACAATTTGTGCCGCTGCAATTTTCAGCCAAGTTGAAAGATTCGCTGCTGAGTTCGATCAAAGTTGCAAGTTGGGCTTGCTTGTCTGTCATATTTTTTAAACAGTGGTAGCCCAACGAAATAGCACACAATAAGGCAAGAAACACATAGAGCGTAATATATGCCATTTGTGTTTCTTGGATGTCTGCTTGTCTGTTTTCATCGCGCGACCATTGTTGCCTAAATATGCTGAATTCGGTAGTCTGAGCTTTCGTTTCAGGTAGAAACAGGGGGACAAATAAAAAAATATCGTTTTTCGCAAACTGCCGCGTGTAGGGGCCACCCCGTGAACGTGAAAAAATGACAGCTAATTAGCCCTGAAGAGGGTGTTCGCCAACCTTGACAGCTTTCACCCACGTTTCTCAACCGAATCATCTATGACTGCGGTTTCTTAGAGAAATTACAATAATAGCGCCGACAAACAGTGCTCCCGGGTCATGTCGAACCCGTAAAGAATGGGGCACATTTCAGCTGCCTTGTGGAATGGAGATAGCGTGATGTAAAGGAGAGGCGATAATAGGAAGTAGTGGAAATGAAAAGCATGTATACCGTACATCTGCCACGGGGCCCGTTGACGTAACAGACGTCGATGCACAACCCCTACCACGCTGGCGTACACCAATGATGTGCACCAAAAGATTGGCTGATGTTCGAAAATGTGTCCAGCTCTATTGAAACGATTGCGTCTTCCCAGTCTTAAATCGGCTTTTTTTTCGTAGTTCTTTTGTGTTACCATTAGGCTTTACCTATAGGGACACTTGGGTGACAAAAAAAAAAGGAAGCCTGTCACAATACTACAGCAGAATTCAAAAAAACTTAGCGCGTTTTGAGTAGAACCAATACAAATGATATATTTTGAGATTTGGGACGTTGAGGTTGCACCGCATTTGTATTGTGTGATTTTACAAGCCGCAACCATGGTATGATTGATTATGAGGCATGTAGAAGCGGCTCTCTCCGATCCGGGCTCAGGCTCATGCAAGTATCATAACGTCTTCACATATGGCGCCAATCTGATTAGGTCCCTATAAGCCGGGAATCGAAACAGCTGGCTCGAGCCCAGCAGCGTATGCCATTATCCTAAAGCCACAATAGCTGATGTGAAGACGTGATAGGCACTGGCGTTTCGACACATGCAACTCAAAGTTTTCAATTTCAGGCCCAATTGTTTTCTGGTATAACAAGCTTATTACACAAAAACAAAAGCTAACCAGGCTCCTTACGCTTTCACACAATACCTGCGCCATGTGTGAACCACAAATAGCGTTCTCTTGTTCTTGCACGAGGATCTTCAATTACGTTTCCTTAGGAGAGCAATCACACAAGCGAATTGAATGAAAGTTTAGCTGACTATGTTGATAACAATTACTTTTGAAATAAACCTTTTTGTGACAATATTAGAACATAAACGCTAATAACAAATATACCGAGTAATGATATAAAACAAAAATAAGTGATAATAAAACACAAACAGTAATCTGTGTATGGATATATTTAAATGTAGAAGTGAGGGTACTATAGTGGTTGGATAGAATCCACTTCACTTTGCTCCTATCTTTTGGTGACATTCCGATTAATCACAGCAACATTGATAATGGGAAAGTGAATTCTATGTCCGAAATCTAACATGCCGTCTGTCATGTCGAAGGTCTTGCAGCTCTGAAGTGAGGTTTGCTATATTGTGGTTGTTAAATAACTGAAAACATGATTTAAAACAATAATAAAAACAAATTACGAAAACACGAATTCTGTCCCACTAAAAAAATACAGCGATTTTTATTTCAGCTTTACACTATACTGTCGACTCATCGATTTTTTTTATTTTACCTGTAATCTCCCTCCCCCTTCTTCACGCTAATATCGGCTTCTAATAATTTGTCCCTGAGCCAAAAAAGGTTGCCTACCCCTGCCTTGAAATGGATATCTAATATTGAAAATTAGTTTCCTTCTCTGGAGCGTTTTCACAGAAATGTTGTTCAGTTTCACCCTTGCTTTTCCTACTCTGTCGCAGCCCCTGTTGAGGCAAGTCTAGCACCCGATGTGCTCAATGCTCATGTTGGCCAGCCGGCATCCCTGCGTTGCGCTTCGGCTGGTCGACCGCCACCCCGAGTCAGGTGGTTAAAGGACGCTCAGGAGCTTCTGGACGACGGGGTGCGCATTCGTCTGCTCGATGACGGACACCTCATGCAGCTTGCCACTGTTTCCAACCAAGACGGCGGCGTGTATCAGTGTCTGGCCTACAACACTCTCGCCCAGGCGCAGGCATCGGCACAGCTCATTCTTGGAGGTGCGTGCACAGTTTAATCACTCCGGATTAAAATTTAAGTCAAATATGTAGTTTAATCATTCTTGACTAGAAACTCAACAAGGTGCGACACAAATATTGTCAGAGTAAATAAGCCTAATTTAGAATAGAATAGATGCACAGAAAGATCTATCCGAAAGATTATTTTGTAAATGCGATTGGAAGCGTTTCCTAAGAGCTCGCAAAGGCAACAATTTACTGAAACTTTTAACAAAGAAAGAAGTCACCACTTTTGTAGCTGAGATGAATTTGACTGCGACAAACCGGAATGTTAACTGATGAAGTAAGGCTAATACTTAACTCCTCAAGGACCTGATCTTGCGTGTGGTTAAAAAAGGTTGACATGGATGAATACAAAGCACTGCAAGGAGCGAAGCGGTTTTCGTGCCTGTTCTCATTGGTTCAACTTGATATAAACGATGGGAGCGCAACACGTAAAAAAGATAAAACACGAGCGTGTTATGTACAGTGTTCTGTACAATTTACTAAAATTTTAACAGAAAAAGAAGTCACCACTTTTGTAGCTGAGATCAATTTGACGGCGACAAACCGGAATGTTAACTGATGAAGTAAGGCTAATACCTAACTCCTCAAGGACCTGATCTTGCGTGTGGTTAAAAAGGTTGACATGGATGAATACAAAGCACTGCAAGGAGCGAAGCGGTTTGCGTGCCTGTTCTCATTGGTTCAACTTGATATGAACGATGGGAGCGCAACACGTAAAAGAGATAGGACACGAGCGTGTTCTGTACAGTGTTCTGTACAATTTACTAAAATTTTAACAGAAAAAGAAGTCACCACTTTTGTAGCTGAGATGAATTTGACGGCGACAAACCGGAATGTTAAATGATGAAGTAAGGCTAATACCTAACTCCTCAAGGACCTGATCTTGCGTGTGGTTAAAAAGGTTGACATGGATGAATACAAAGCACTGCAAGGAGCGAAGCGGTTTTCGTGCCTGTTCTCATTGGTTCAACTTGATATAAACGATGGGAGCGCAACACGTAAAAGAGATAGGACACGAGCGTGTTCTGTACAGTGTTCTGTACAATTTACTAAAATTTTAACAGAAAAAGAAGTCACCACCTTTGTAGCTGAGATGAATTTGACGACGACAAACCGGAATGTTAAATGATGAAGTAAGGCTAATACCTAACTCCTCAAGGACCTGATCTTGCGTGTGGTTAAAAAGGTTGACATGGATGAATACAAAGCACTGCAAGGAGCGAAGCGGTTTTCGTGCCTGTTCTCATTGGTTCAACTTGATATAAACGATGGGAGCGCAACACGTAAAAGAGATAGGACACGAGCGTGTTCTGTACAGTGTTCTGTACAATTTACTAAAATTTTAACAGAAAAAGAAGTCACCACTTTTGTAGCTGAGATGAATTTGACGGCGACAAACCGGAATGTTAAATGATGAAGTAAGGCTAATACCTAACTCCTCAAGGACCTGATCTTGCGTGTGGTTAAAAAGGTTTACATGAATGAATACAAAGCACTGCAAGGAGCGAAGCGGTTTTCCTGCCTGTTCTCATTGGTTCAACTTGATACAAACGATGGGAGCGCAACACGTAAAAGAGATAAGACACGAGCGTGTTCTGTACAGTGTTCTGTACAATTTACTAAAATTTTAACACAAAAATAAGTCACCACTTTTGTACCTGAGATGAATTTGACGGCGACAAACCGGAATGTTAAATGATGAAGTAAGGCTAATACCTAACTCCTCAAGGACCTGATCTTGCGTGTGGTTAAAAAGGTTGACATGAATGAATACAAAGCACTGCAAGGTGCGAAGCGGTTTTCCTGCCTGTTCTCATTGGTTCAACTTGATATAAACGATGGGAGCGCAACACGTTAAAGAGATAAGACACGAGCGTGTTCTGTACAGTGTTCTGTACAATTTACTAAACTTTTAACAAAAAAAGAAGTCACCACTTTTGTAGCTGAGATGAATTTGACGGCGACAAACCGGAATGTTAACTGATGAAGTAAGGCTAATACCTAACTCCTCAAGGACCTGATCTTGCGTGTGGTTAAAAAGGTTGACATGAATGAATACAAAGCACTGCAAGGAGCGAAGCGGTTTTCGTGCCTGTTCTCATTGGTTCAACTTGATATAAACGATGGGAGCGCAACACGTAAAAGAGATAAGACACGAGCGTGTTCTGTACAGTGTTCTGTACAATTTACTAAAATTTTAACACAAAAAGAAGTCACCACTTTTGTAGCTGAGATGAATTTGACGGCGACAAACCGGAATGTTAAATGATGAAGTAAGGCTAATACCTAACTCCTCAAGGACCTGATCTTGCGTGTGGTTAAAAAGGTTGACATGAATGAATACAAAGCACTGCAAGGAGCGAAGCGGTTTTCGTGCCTGTTCTCATTGGTTCAACTTGATATAAACGATGGGAGCGCAACACGTAAAAGAGATAAGACACGAGCGTGTTCTGTACAGTGTTCTGTACAATTTACTAAAATTTTAACAGAAAAAGAAGTCACCACCTTTGTAGCTGAGATGAATTTGACGACGACAAACCGGAATGTTAAATGATGAAGTAAGGCTAATACCTAACTCCTCAAGGACCTGATCTTGCGTGTGGTTAAAAAGGTTGACATGAATGAATACAAAGCACTGCAAGGAGCGAAGCGGTTTTCCTGCCTGTTCTCATTGGTTCAACTTGATATAAACGATGGGAGCGCAACACGTAAAAGAGATAAGACACGAGCGTGTTCTGTACAGTGTTCTGTACAATTTACTAAAATTTTAACACAAAAAGAAGTCACCACTTTTGTAGCTGAGATGAATTTGACGGCGACAAACCGGAATGTTAAATGATGAAGTAAGGCTAATACCTAACTCCTCAAGGACCTGATCTTGCGTGTGGTTAAAAAGGTTGACATGAATGAATACAAAGCACTGCAAGGAGCGAAGCGGTTTTCGTGCCTGTTCTCATTGGTTCAACTTGATATAAACGATGGGAGCGCAACACGTAAAAGAGATAAGACACGAGCGTGTTCTGTACAGTGTTCTGTACAATTTACTAAACTTTTAACAAAAAAAGAAGTCACCACTTTTGTAGCTGAGATGAATTTGACGGCGACAAACCGGAATGTTAACTGATGAAGTAAGGCTAATACCTAACTCCTCAAGGACCTGATCTTGCGTGTGGTTAAAAAGGTTGACATGGATGAATACAAAGCACTGCAAGGAGCGAAGCGGTTTGCGTGCCTGTTCTCATTGGTTCAACTTGATATAAACGATGGGAGCGCAAGACGTAAAAGAGATAAGACACGAGCGTGTTCTGTACAGTGTTCTGTACAATTTACTAAACTTTTAACAAAAAAAGAAGTCACCACTTTTGTAGCTGAGATGAATTTGACGGCGACAAACCGGAATGTTAACTGATGAAGTAAGGCTAATACCTAACTCCTCAAGGACCTGATCTTGCGTGTGGTTAAAAAGGTTGACATGAATGAATACAAAGCACTGCAAGGAGCGAAGCGGTTTTCCTGCCTGTTCTCATTGGTTCAACTTGATATAAACGATGGGAGCGCAAGACGTAAAAGAGATAAGACACGAGCGTGTTCTGTACAGTGTTCTGTACAATTTACTAAAATTTTAACACAAAAAGAAGTCACCACTTTTGTAGCTGAGATGAATTTGACGGCGACAAACCGGAATGTTAAATGATGAAGTAAGGCTAATACCTAACTCCTCAAGGACCTGATCTTGCGTGTGGTTAAAAAGGTTGACATGAATGAATACAAAGCACTGCAAGGAGCGAAGCGGTTTTCGTGCCTGTTCTCATTGGTTCAACTTGATATAAACGATGGGAGCGCAACACGTAAAAGAGATAAGACACGAGCGTGTTCTGTACAGTGTTCTGTACAATTTACTAAAATTTAACAGAAAAAGAAGTCACCACTTTTGTAGCTGAGATGAATTTGACGGCGACAAACCGGAATGTTAACTGATGAAGTAAGGCTAATACCTAACTCCTCAAGGACCTGATCTTGCGTGTGGTTAAAAAGGTTGACATGGAATGAATACAAAGCCCTGCAAGGAGCGAAGCGGTTTTCGTGCCTGTTCTCATTGGTTCAACTTGATATAACGATGGGAGCGCAACACGTAAAAGAGATAAGGACACGAGCGTGTTCTGTACAGTGTTCTGTACAATTTACTAAATTTTAACAGAAAAAGAAGTCACCACTTTTGTAGTTGAGATGAATTTGACGGCGACAAACCGGAATGTTAAATGATGAAGTAAGGCTAATACCTAACTCCTCAAGGACCTGATCTTGCGTGTGGTTAAAAAGGTTGACATGGATGAATACAAAGCACTGCAAGGAGCGAAGCGGTTTTCGTGCCTGTTCTCATTTGGTTCAACTTGATATAGACGATGGGAGCGCAACACGTAAAAGAGATAGGACACGAGCGTGTTCTGTACAGTGTTCTGTACAATTCACTAAAATTTTAACAGAAAAAGAAGTCACCACTTTTGTAGCTGAAATGAATTTGACGGCGACAAATCGGAATGTTAAGTGATGAAGTAAGGCTAATACCTAACTCCTCAAGGACCTGATCTTGCGTGTGGTTAAAAAGGTTGACATGGATGAATACAAAGCCCTGCAAGGAGCGAAGCGGTTTTCGTGCCTGTTCTCATTGGTTCAACTTGATATAAACGATGGGAGCGCAACACGTAAAAGAGATAAGACACGATCGTGTTCTGTACAGTGTTCTGTACAATTTACTAAAATTTTAACAGAAAAAGAAGTCACCACTTTTGTAGTTGAGATGAATTTGACGGCGACAAACCGGAATGTTAAATGATGAAGTAAGGCTAATACCTAACTCCTCAAGGACCTGATCTTGCGTGTGGTTAAAAAGGTTGACATGGATGAATACAAAGCACTGCAAGGAGCGAAGCGGTTTTCGTGCCTGTTCTCTTTGGTTCAACTTGATATAGACGATGGAAGCGCAACACGTAAAAGAGATAGGACACGAGCGTGTTCTGTACAGTGGTCTGTACAATTCACTAAAATTTTAACAGAAAAAGAAGTCACCACTTTTGTAGCTGAAAGGATTTGACGGCGACAATCGGAATGTTAAACTGATGAAGGAAGGCTAATACCTACTCCTCAAGGACCTGATCTTGCGTGTGGTTAAAAAAGGTTGACATGAATGAATACAAAGCACTGCAAGGAGCGAAGCGGTTTTCGTGCCTGTTCTCATTGGTTCAACTTGATATAAACGATGGGAGCGCAACACGTAAAAGAGATAGAACACGATCGTGTTCTGTACAAGTGTTCCTGTACAATTAAGAATACAAAAAAAAAAACTTAGCGCATTTTGTGTAGAACCAATACAAATGATATATTTTGAGATTTGGGACATCGAGGTTGCACCGCATTTGTATTGTGTGATTTTACAAGCCGCAACCATGATATGATTGATTATGAGGCATGTAGTAGTGCGCTCTCCGATCTGACCTAAGGCTCATGCGAGTATCATAACGTCATCACATACTGCGTCGATCTGAATGGGTCGCTATAGCCGGGAATCAAAAGAGCTAGCTCGTGCCCAGCAGCGTATGCCATTATCCCTAAGCCACAGTAGCTGATGTGAAGACGTGATAGGCACTGGCGTTTCGACACACGCAACTAAAATTTTTGAATTTGTAGCTGAAATGATTTGACGGCGACAAACCGGAATGTTAAATGATGAAGTAAGGCTAATACCTAACTCCTCAAGGACCTGATCTTGCGTGTGGTTAAAAAGGTTGACATGGATGAATACAAAGCACTGCAAGGAGCGAAGCGGTTTTCGTGCCTGTTCTCTTTGGTTCAACTTGATATAGACGATGGAAGCGCAACACGTAAAAGAGATAGGACACGAGCGTGTTCTGTACAGTGGTCTGTACAATTCACTAAAATTTTAACAGAAAAAGAAGTCACCACTTTTGTAGCTGAAATGAATTTGACGGCGACAAATCGGAATGTTAACTGATGAAGTAAGGCTAATACCTAACTCCTCAAGGACCTGATCTTGCGTGTGGTTAAAAAGGTTGACATGAATGAATACAAAGCACTGCAAGGAGCGAAGCGGTTTTCGTGCCTGTTCTCATTGGTTCAACTTGATATAAACGATGGGAGCGCAACACGTAAAAGAGATAAGACACGATCGTGTTCTGTACAGTGTTCTGTACAATTTACTAAAATTTTAACAGAAAAAGAAGTCACCACTTTTGTAGCTGAAATGAATTTGACGGCGACAAACCGGAATGTTAACTGATGAAGTAAGGCTAATACCTAACTCCTCAAGGACCTGATCTTGCGTGTGGTTAAAAAGGTTGACATGGATGAATACAAAGCCCTGCAAGGAGCGAAGCGGTTTTCGTGCCTGTTCTCATTGGTTCAACTTGATATGAACGATGGGAGCGCAACACGTAAAAGAGATAGGACACGAGCGTGTTCTGTACAGTGTTCTGTACAATTTACTAAAATTTTAACAGAAAAAGAAGTCACCACTTTTGTAGTTGAGATGAATTTGACGGCGACAAACCGGAATGTTAAATGATGAAGTAAGGCTAATACCTAACTCCTCAAGGACCTGATCTTGCGTGTGGTTAAAAAGGTTGACATGGATGAATACAAAGCACTGCAAGGAGCGAAGCGGTTTTCGTGCCTGTTCTCTTTGGTTCAACTTGATATAGACGATGGAAGCGCAACACGTAAAAGAGATAGGACACGAGCGTGTTCTGTACAGTGGTCTGTACAATTCACTAAAATTTTAACAGAAAAAGAAGTCACCACTTTTGTAGCTGAAATGAATTTGACGGCGACAAATCGGAATGTTAACTGATGAAGTAAGGCTAATACCTAACTCCTCAAGGACCTGATCTTGCGTGTGGTTAAAAAGGTTGACATGGATGAATACAAAGCCCTGCAAGGAGCGAAGCGGTTTTCGTGCCTGTTCTCATTGGTTCAACTTGATATGAACGATGGGAGCGCAACACGTAAAAGAGATAGGACACGAGCGTGTTCTGTACAGTGTTCTGTACAATTTACTAAAATTTTAACAGAAAAAGAAGTCACCACTTTTGTAGTTGAGATGAATTTGACGGCGACAAACCGGAATGTTAAATGATGAAGTAAGGCTAATACCTAACTCCTCAAGGACCTGATCTTGCGTGTGGTTAAAAAGGTTGACATGGATGAATACAAAGCACTGCAAGAAGCGAAGCGTTTTTCGTGCCTGTTCTCATTGGTTCAACTTGATATAGACGATGGGAGCGCAACACGTAAAAGAGATAGGACACGAGCGTGTTCTGTACAGTGTTCTGCACAATTTACTAAAATTTTAACAGAAAAAGAAGTCACCATTTTTGTAGCTGAAATGAATTCGATGGCGACAAACCGGAATATTAAATGATGAAGTAAGGCTAATACCTAACTCCTCAAGGACCTGATCTTGCGTATGGTTAAAACGTTTGACAAGAATGAATACGAAGCACTCCAAGGAGCGAAGTCGTTTTCGTGCCTGTTGTTGTTGGTACAACGTGATGTACATGCACATTGAGCTGGTCTTGAAGTGAATACAGCATGCATATATATATATGTATATGCGGTTCACTAAATATCATGCATCATGACTAAAGAAAAATGGGAACTTCCTCGCACAAAACGCACGCTTAGTGCCTATTATTCTCAAAATTCTGTTGAATCGGCTACACCACAATCAATCTTTCGTTAATTTATGCAGTAAATTAGCCTTTACTATATATTCAAGTCAGAAAATACTCACGTAGTTATCAATATATCAATGAGGCATATTTGACGTATCGTTCAAATTACATCCATCTGCGCTAATTTCAACAAAGTAGTAACTGCGTGCCCGCGCTTTTTGTATACATCATATTCTTTATTTCATGCAGACACCGCTCCAGTTCTACTGGAATCACCCAAGGACTTCAAAGTGAAACCCGGCGACTCCTTGCTTCTTAAGTGCGAAGCCACAGGTTCACCGGTACCCAAGATAACGTGGAGCGTTGATGGCATTCCTGCTCGCCACATAAAATCATCCAGCAGGGTCAACATCAGCGAGGTATGCAAAGTCGATGCTCATGCCTACTGGGCTGATTTTCGAGGAAGCGAACTGTTCGTGGTATAATCGCTGTAACACCGTTGCGCTACAACCCATCGCACATTATCAGCCAACAGCTTACGTCTAAATGCATGAAGCTCTTCCAGTAAGAATATTGCTCAAGCAAAAGCAGAAAAATCGCAGGAACACGGAGATTCACTTGTTTTGTGTTTATAGGAAACAACCACCTCGATATATACAATAATTACGGTAATGCGTATTTGATGAGACGCCATTGTTCTAACTCAACAATATTCACGACAAATGAATTCGCACACCCCACCAGGCTGGGCAGTACTAACACTAATAGGCATAACATTATTAAACTTCAGGACAGCGAAATAAGCGACTTTCACTACTGTCTTATCAGCGCGTACACAATTCATTCCCTGTGACATGCACACTGCAGTATCATCGCAGGCCTTCATCCAGGCAGACATTTGTAACTTTCATAAGGATTACATTATCAAGTTTATCAGCTGGGCCGAACAGTGGATAACTATCATAAAAAATTCTGTGTCATCCAAAAAGCGAATGATCAGTGGCTGAAGCAGGGGGATCGTTCGGTGTTACTCGGTGTTACTGTAAATCACCCGCGACATTGACAATTCATGCACGTGAACGAGTGCCCAGTGACGTACAGTTAGGTACAATGTTTGTTGGTCATAAATGGCATGTTGTATTGAGTTGAGAATTCAGTTTTTCCTTCATTTTTAGTGCTTCACTGTATCGTATCTAGCCTGAAGTTGGCAAAGGCGAGGTCATGGCGGTTCCCCTGGTGATCATTGCTTGTTTACAGTCATATGACATGCACCCTAGAGCATATCGATACGTCATGCTACTTCACACGACAGTCGTTGTCTGTGATCATAACCGTCATCTTCATTGTCATCATCATCATCGTCATGACGTATACAAGGAGTTTGAGAAAACCTCCTTTTACGTCTAATAGGCACGCAATGAAGGCGCTTGTTCATCGACATCAGCATCATCTTCATTGCCATCGCGGTCGATTACAGCGAACGCCAACGTCACCAACGGGCAACTGCCAAGAATAAATGTGGCACGTTCTACTTTGCGAGCGCTGTCGAAAGAACGAAGGTAGTGCTCGTCTTTGTCACGCTCAATCAGACCACTTTTGCGCGCCCACTCATTTGGTCTGCCTTTCTGCTGAGCCTATGAACACTGTCTTCATTCGCTTGCCTCTCATTGATTCATCCTTTTGCCCGAGCACCACCCTCGCCCTTTAATGCATGCCTCGCAACGGTTCGCCTTTCTACCAAATCTCACACACTCCCATCTTGCGTGGCGGAGCTCTGTTCCTTCTAAACGAGCTCTACACTTCCCAAACCGCAGCGGCACCTGACGAATTCTGCGCTATTAACTGGCAAAAATATTGGACAACAACAACAGCTTCGCTTAAAAAATGTGGTTGGTCTCTGTGACATAATAATTGGTGTAACATGAAAGTAAAAGGTGTCACAGAACCAGTATAATGTTTCTTAAGCACTGGTAAAAGCAAGCCTGCGATGGCTCTTGGTGTTCGGCTGCTGCTACACCGTTTAACAAGACGCTTGGAGGCAGATTTATTTCCCGATAACTAATGACCATGATAAATTATTAAAACAAACTGTTGTGGTAGTTAGTTGCCATTGAGAGCGCTATTGGAGAAAGCGCTGTGACAGCCAGAAGAGCGTCACTGCGGAAACGAAGAACTTAGGTTCAAGTCGCCAATCTGCAGGCATGTTAAAGAGGGGAACTCCACAGCCGGAAACTCAAAGCGCCTTGTGCCGCACCTCAAGCCCGGCCGCGATTTTAGTCAGATGAGTGTAAGCGGGGAATGTCTTGCTGTAGCCAGGCGAATCACTCGCGCATCGTAGGACTTTTTTATTATTAAAGAATGCTACGAGTCAGCCAAGGATTCGATCAAGGCAGCCTTCATGACGTCGGCAAAGTTGATATGATGATATGTGGGGTTCGACGTCCCAAAACCTTCATTTGATTATGAAATACGCCGTAGTGAGGGGCTCCGGAGCTTTCTACCACCTGTGGTTCTTTAACGTGCACCGGCCTACAGCATTTTCGCCTCTATCGAAAATGCAGCCGCTGCAGCCGCGATTTCATCCCGCGACCTGCGGGTCAGCAGCCGAGTACCTTAGCCACTAGACCACCGTGGCGGGGCGTCGACAAAGTTTTACTTCTTCTTCTGGACAAACACGAAATGATAATTGCGCGTAACAATGACGCACGGCAAAAGCTAAACGCGGAGTCTACGTTCAACATTTGCCAGTTCATTTGTTTTTGTTGTTTAATCGGTCATAATTTGAACTTCCATTGATGATATATTTTTATAATAATTTTGCTATTTCATCATGTGCGTTTTTTCTCGACATAAGTACCGTGTCAAAAATGCGTCACCTAAATCTTGGAGAAACTCACAAAAACCACTTCCGTGTGAAAAAAATGGCAGTCTATTTGGGCGCTTCCCTGAAAATGTCATCGCAAGATTAAAGTCTTCTGCCGGTCGACTTTTTCATGCATGCCTCACATTACAAGCGCAGTGTTGTAAACACTGGGCTCTGTAGAATTACGCCTTTATGTATTTTCTAATAAAGTAATACTCAATCTAATACTTACGCAATGAAGTTGCTTGACTGATTGATATGTGGGGTTTAAAGTCCCAAAACCACCATATGATTATGAGAGACGCTGTAGTGGAGGGCTCCGGGAATTTCGACCACCTGGGGTTCTTTAAACGCAATGAAGTTGCGTCTCAGAAATGCGTATTATTTGCTTTTTTTGATTGACAATGTTCTCAAGTATGAATGCAGCCACCATTAGTTCAGGTGGATGAATAGTGCGGCCGACCGACCGACCGACCGACCGACCGACCGACAGACTGACAGACAGACAGACAGACAGACAGACAGACAGACAGACAGACAGACAGACAGACAGACAGACAGACAGACAAATTTCTGCGTTCATATATAGCAAGAAAGACTTCTGATGTTCAAAGGAAAGATAGTAAAGTCAACACTTGGATCGAAAAGTATAGCCGGACAAAGATTTAGTCTAGAAGAGTGTCGATTCTCAAGCACCACTATGCAGCATTAGTAACTGTGCACCGCGGCTGATAAGCTTCGCGGGTACGATACTGCCCGCAGAGGTTTCATTTCAATGGAGTTGAAATACAAGAAATCCCGGCACACGTCCGATGTCATGATGAACATCATCAGCCTGACTACGTCCACTGCAGGACAAAGACCTCTACCATGTTCAACCAGTCAACTCGGTCCTGTGTTTGCTGCCAATTTATACCCGCAAACTTCTTAATCTCATCTGTCCACCTAACCCCTAGCCCAGTTGCATTCTCTGGTAATCCAGTTTGTTACCCTTAATGACCAGCGGCTATCCTGTCTACGCACTACATGCCCGGCCCATGTCCATTTCCTCTTCTTGATTTCAACTATGATATCCTTAACCCCCGTTTGTCACCCTAATCCACCCTGCTCTCTTCTTGTCTCTTAAGGTTACACCAAGCATTTTTTCCATTGCTCGCTGCGTCGTACTCAATCCAAGAAAAGCCCTCTTTGTAAGTCTTTAGGTTTCTGCTCCATAGCTAAGTACCGTCAAGATGCAGCTGTTATATACCCTCCTCTTGGGGTATAGTGGCAATCTACCTGTCATGATTTAACAGTGTTTGCCAAATGTGCTGCACCCCAATTTTATTCTTCTAGTTACTTCAATCTCGTGGTTAGGCTCCATGGTTATTACCTACCTACCCTAAGTAGACATAGTCTTTTACAACTTGAAGTGCACTAATACCTATCTCGAAGCAATGCTCTCTTCCTAGGTTGTTTTACAATATTTTCGTTTTCTGCAGATTAATTTCAAAAGCCACCTTTCTGCTCTCCGGGTCTAACTCCGTAATCATGAGTTTCAATTCGTCCCCTGAGTTACTCAGCAATGCAATGTCATCGGTGAAGCGCAGGTTACTAAGGTACTCTCCAATAACTCTTATCCCTAACTGTTCCCATTGTAGGCCTCTGAAAACCTGCTGTAAGCACGCGGTAAATAGCATTGGGGAGATAGCATTGAGTAGATTTCTTTACACCCTTCTTGCATGGTATGCTGTTGCTTTCTTTATGAAGCAATATGCTAGCAGTTGATCCCCTGTAGATTTCTTCCAGGATGTTTATATATACTTCATCGACGCCCTGATTCCGCAGTGTCTGCATAACCGCTGATATTTCTGCTGAATCACACGCCTCCTCGTAATATATGAAGGCTATGTATAGTGGTTGGCTATATTCTGACTTTTTCTATATTACCTGATTGAAAGTATGAATGTGGTCGATTGTTGAGTAGCCTGTTCGAAATGCTGCTTGTGCCTTTGGTTGATTGAATTTGAATGTTTCCTTAACTCTGTTAGCAATTGTCTTTGTAAATAGTTTGTATACAACGGAGAGAAAGCTAATCGGCCTGTAATTCTTCAAGTCCTTGTCTTCTCCTTTCTTATGTATTAAAATGATGGTAGCATTCTGCCACGACTCTGGTACTCTTCCCGTCAGGGGGCACCTCGTAAACAGGATGGCAAGTTTTTCTAACACAATCTGTACTTAATCTTTCAGCAGATCTGATGTGACCTGGTCCTCACCAGCAGCTTTACCTCTTTTCATGCTCTTCAATGCTTTTCTGACATCGTTCATCAATATTTGCGGGGTGTCATCTGGGTTACTGCTAGTTCTTATAGTATTAAGGTTGGGGTGGTCCCGGCTACTGTACAGGTCACTGTAAAACTCCTTCACTATTTTAACTATTCTATTCATATTGGTAGTTACTTTGCCTTCTTTGCTTACATAGGTGCAAACATCCGATTTCTGTCTATCCAAGTTTTCTCTTCACTGCTTTGACGCTTCCTCCTTTTTTCAGAGCGTGTCAAATTCTCTCCATGTTATACCATCTTACATCGGACGCGTTTCGCTTATTAATCAACTTCGAAAGCTCTGCCAGTTCTATTTTATCTGTTGTACTAGAGACTTTCATGCTTTGACGCTTTTTAATGAGGTTCTTTGTCTCCTGTGACAGCTTGGCAGTGTCCTGTCTAAGTACCGTACCTCCAACTTCCACTGCACACTACGTAGTGATACTCGTCAGATTATCAATCATTGCGCTAACGATAAGGCTAGTTTCCTCGATGAGAGCTGAGTACCTGCTCTGAAGTGAGCCTCCGAATTCCTCTACTTTCCCTCTCAGTGTTAGGTCATTGATTGGCTTCTTGCGTATCAGTTTCTGTCGTTCCTTCTTCAAGTCTAGGCGAATTAGAGACCATACCATTCTATGGTCACTGCATCGTACCTTGCCAAGCACTTCCACATCCTGCACGATCCCTGGGTGTGTTCTCAATATAAAGTCTATTTCGTTCTTATTTTCGCCATAAGGGCTTCTCCATATCCCCTTACGGTTTCCCCGTTTCCAACAGAAGATATTCAATATACGTAAATTATTGCGTTTTGCGAATTCTTCTAGTAGCTCTCCTCTGGCATTTCTAGTACCGATGCCATAATCTCCCACTGCCTGGTGTCCAGCATACTTCTTCCCTACCTTTGGAATAAAGTCTTCCAGTAGTATAGTATACTGTGTTTTTACCTTACTCATTGCCCATCCACGTCTTCATGGAAGCTTTCAATTGAAGCGTCATCTTGGCTGGATGTAGGCGCGTAAGCCTGTACCACCTACATCGTGTATCTCTTATTGAGTTTAATTACAATACCTACCACCCTTTCATTAATGATATCGTATTCCTCTATGTTGCCAGCTATGTTTCTGTGAATAAGGAACCCCACTCCCAGTTCTCTTCTGTCAGCCAAGCCGCGATAGCAATGAACGTGCTCATTCTGTAGTACCGTATAGGCCTTCATCTGTCCTCCTAATCTCACTCAGCCCCATTATATCCCATTTAATACTCTCTAGCTCCTCGAATAGTACTGCTAGGCTTGCCTCACTAGATAAGATCGTGCGTAAAACGTTGCCAAGTTCAGGTTCCTAATGGCGGCCTGGTCAGATCTGCAACGCACCCTCTGCTGCGTTGCATATCTGAGCGCTGACGTAGTCAGTTGCTTTGCAGCTGCTGGGGACTGAGGGCCGTGAGTTAACTGATGTATGCACGGGGGAGGTAGTGGCCAGATACAGCACCAGGGTGGCCAATCTTTCTCTGGTGAGGGAGTGCGTTACCGGCGGTGGTCACCAGTGAGGCCGCACCCCAGACCTCTTAATACAGTCCCATCACCACGCGGATTTTTTTTATCCGGTTAGGAACTGCGCGGCACCAGTATTCGAGCCACGGACCTCTTGCTTGCGAGGTGGATGCTCTAACCACTACGCCATCGCCGCTTTGGTCTCCCGCAGCACCGCCGCAGTGGTCAGGTGGCTAAGGTACTCGGCTGTTGACCCGCACGTCGCGGGATCGAATACCGGCTGTGGCGGCTGCATTTCCGATGGAGTGGGAAATTTGTAGGCCCGTGTGCTCAGACTTAGGTGCAGGTTAAAGAACACGAGGTGGTCAAAATTTCCGGAGCCCTCCACTACGGCATCTCTCATTTCCGATGTCATGTCAGTTTCAATCATAAAGACCATTTTTCCACAGCATTCTTGACAACCACATCGTGGTTTTGGCACTTGAAGTTCCAAACGTCCTATTAATTTGCAGTTCTACTTTATTCATGAAAAGAATTCGTCTACCAGCAAAGTAGTTATACGCGCCAAAATATTTTTATTATGATGGTACACGCCATAGGAAAGGGCAACGGAAATTCCGACAATCTTATTTTTGGTATTCATAGAATTTTGTATGCACCGACCTGCAGTATTTTCGCCTACGTTCCAATTGTGACTGTCATGATTGGTATTGTAGCGGCTGTAGCAGCATGGTGGGCTAATTAGAATGAGTAAAATATCTATCTATCTATTTATCTATCTATCTATTTATCTATCTATTTATCTATCTATCTATTTATCTATCTATCTATCTATCTATCTATCTATCTATCTATCTATCTATCTATCTATCTATCTATCTATCTATCTATCTATCTATCTATCTATCTATCTATCTATCTATCTATCTATCTATCTATCTATCTATCTATATCTCTCTCTCTATCTATCTATCTATCTATCTAATATCTCGCAGGCTTCTCATGGCGAGAACCACCTGGCCAGTTACGTAAATATTTCTCGCATACGGACCGAAGAGGCCGGCCTGTGGCGATGCGTCGGCGTCAACTCGGCTGGTGCGGCAGAGGCCACTGCGCGCGTGGCCGTGCGCGGACCACCTGAAGTACGACCCTTCCGATCCAACCGCACCGCAGTGGCCACCGAAGCGCTGGAGATGCACTGCGCGCTGCTCACCTACCCAATCAAATCTGTTCACTGGGAAAAGGGTGAGATTGCTTAGCACATTGAGTGTCAGTTGCATACACACTTACTTAAGAGCGCACTTACACGCACCTTTATGTGTGTACGCCTAGTTTCTGTCGATCATCATCATCATGATCACCATAATCATACTGAGTACACCTACTGCAGGGCAAGTGCCTCTCTTATGATCCACCAATCAACCCAGTCTTGTGCTTTCTGCTGCCGCGTTATACCTGCGAACTTTTTAATGTCATGAGCCCACCTAACTTTCTGTCTCTCCTTCACATGCTTGCCTTCTCTGGAAATCCAGTGTGTGATCCTTATCAGCCGCGATTATCTTGCCTTCGCGCTATGTGCCCTGCCACGATTATTTCTTTTTTGATTTCAACTGTAATGTCCTTAACACCCATTTGTTCCCTGGTACACTCTGCTCTAGTCTTGTCTCTTATTGTCACACCTGTCATAATATTGCGATAGCGATTATATGGACATCCTCAGCTTAATTGCGCCGCCGGCGTCGGCATCATGCACAGTATATGTATACGTATCTCTCTCTCTTTCTCTCTCTCTCTCTCTCTCTCTCTCTCTCTCTCTCTCTCTCTATATATATATATATATATATATATATATATATATATATATATATATATATATATATATATATATATATATATATGTGAAGACGCAAGCAAGAAAAAAATTCCGGAAAAAAAGACTCCGGCGCGCGGAATCAAACGAGGCACCTCTGCGTCATGAATGCGAGGCGTTAACCACTGAGCCACCAAAAGATACCTCCATTACCGTTCAAACGGCAAGCTCTTCATATCTACCACTTGCCGCTGTTGGCGGTCATCTCGGGGGGGGGGGGGGAGGATTACAATCGTGTTTTCAGCATTGTCAGCAAGATGGCGCCGTGAGCGCACGGCATAGAGTTTCCTAAAACTAATTAGAGGGGACTCTGTCCTGCGACCGTTCAGCGACCATGGGAATGATGGGTAGTACGCACATTTGCCTAGTCTGCGTGCTTGCGGGTGGCGAATCGTATTTACGACTTCGTTAATTGCGATGTTCCGGTTTTGTTTTGAAAGAAAGGCTCAACCCTTTTGAACTCCATGACCCGATTTGGAAAGGTAAGTCTAAAAAAAATAGGGTGGTAAAGCGCAACCGCTGAACATTTGCTGATTTTTGTTTCGTGGGAGAACAGGTCCGAGCCACAAGAACACACTCGGAGCCAAAAGCAGGCCAGAAGTACGAAGATTAGACAAATACGTGTACTAGCCATCATTCCCATGCTGGCTGAAGCGCCGTGCGTTGCAGCTCACAGACACTAGTGCCATAGTTCCCTCTGGAGCATATTAGGAGACTCTATGGCGCGCGGCGGCTCTCATCTCTGACGCGTACTCTGGCCCGCGTATAGAACAAGGGGGTGTACGCTCGATCACGTGCCTTTATCCTGCAGTGGGGGAGAATCGTACGTCTTGGCTAGCCTTTGGATGTAATCGCAACAATTGCGTTGTATTTACCAGGAGCAGAAAGGTCACTGCAATTGTTGCACGGCCTCCATTTGCGAGAAGCGCGTGCTTTTCAGACACAGCAAAACAACAACGGAGACGCTTATACGCGTTTATCCGTTACTTGTAAGTTTCGTGCGTCAGTTGTGCGTGAAAAACACGGGCCACGTTTCGATATGCTTGAGAAGTACGTTTTGATCTGCTTGCCATTCTGCACGTGACTTTCCAATTTGTTGGTATTGCGTTTATTGCTTTGCCTTTGCGGCAAATCTGTGACTTTTTTTCTTTCCATCGCTCACTGCGTCGTCTTCAATATAAGCTGGACCCTCTTTGTAAGGCTCCAGGTTTCTGCTCCGTACGTAAGCACCGCCAAGATGCAGCTGTTATATACCTTCCTCTGGAGTGTTAGTGGTAAATAACTATTCATGATTTCAGAATGCTTGTCGGAAGTTGTCCATCCCATTCTTATTCTTCTGGGTATTTCACTCTGATAGTTCGGCTCCGCGCTTACTACCTGTCCTAAGAAAACGTATTCCTTTAAAACTTCGAGCATCCCTTCAGCTAATCCAAAAGGCTGCTTTCTTCCGAAACGGTTGCTCAATACTTTAGTTTTATTCATAATAAGGCCTACCATTTTGCGTGCCATCTCCAGTTTAGCAATCTTGAGCTGTAATTCGCCGCCTGAGGTACTCATCAAGGCAATGTCATCAGGGAATCACAGGATGCTATTATAATTTGCATGCATGAACTCCTATTCCTGACTCTTTTTGATCTAGGGACCATGATAAGCTCTTCTGAACACGTAGTGAATGGCATAAGAAAGATCGTGTCTCTCTGCCTTACACCCTTTTTATCGCGATTCTGTATTTTTTGTTTATAGTCACATACAAATTATGAAGTCTGAAGAGGCCACACCAAGACGACCCAGTGGCAAAAGCCAATTGCCTCCACTGCTGAAAAGATAGTTCCTCTCATGCATCGGGAAATGATCTCGGAAGCCGGTGTTACTGGCTCTCCTGCTCATGGCGTCACTCGAACGTGCGCGCCCATCGGGGCAGGCGTGCGTGCTTTCATCTTTGGGGTGGAAGCGCCTCGGGCTTCCGAAGTTGCATTCATCTATAGTCTTCTGGTGGTGCTTTTTGTAATCTTAATTTTGATGCATCTATTGTGAAGTGTCTCGTACATACAAGCATTCTGAACTACGGAAGTTTCACTTGGTTTTTGCTCGCTCTACAACATTTGGATGTCATACACTCACTTTTATTCTCACTGAGCCCACAATTTCAAAATTTCATTGCAATCTAGCAAAACTGTGTGGAGGCAAGATATCGCAATCACGAGTTTTAGCCTTTTTAGGAATTCATTTACTTTTGAATCTCAGCCTTTTTTTTTCCCGGAACCATGTGCACATTATTGCATCCCAAGGTCAAACCAACTGTCGCGTAGGTGGGTCATTTCGGCGCAAAATGTTGCCTTAAGCTTCTCTGGAAAATGGTGCTAGAAAAGAAAGAAACAATGAAAGAAAATAAAGAAGGGAAAGGAAAAATAAGAGATTATGCAAAAGCTACTGTCCGCAGTTATTTTACGTACTGAAGCCCAGCTGCTCGGCTAAGTGGATCATATATTGCTAGTTTGAATACTGATCCCCCAAAATACATGGCGGGGATGCGTGCATACGTACACGGGTAGAACTTTTCTCCGAGAGTTTGTTCTTTTTTACATTGTGCAGTAAGGCGAGCATAAAACTTTTAATATTGAAGTATGCTAAATTTACGGCAGTCATTACGTACCAACGTCAAGTAACATATGGTGAACAGACAACTTAATTTATTCCCGAGAATACTTCGGAGTTGAAGCTCACTCAGAAGACCTTGCTCTCCTTCCGACTAAACAAGGCTTAGCTAGGAAGAAAGAAAGAACAAAAAAAGAGAATGCAGGGAGGTTACTCAGGCACATGCCAAGCTTGCCACCCTACTGTGGTAGAATCGAAAGTAAGAGTGTTAAGATGAGAGAGGGAGGAGAATGAGGAGGAGAAAAAGAGGAGAACAATGTCAGTAGATGAGCTGACGCGTATGCAACGGTGTTACTGTGCAAAGGGCGATGGCGGTCATATAGGCCCGTGGTCATTAGAAAGCGCAAGATGGCTTTGACTGCCTTGTGAGCCGGTGGAAGAGGGGCATGGTGCTCCAGCAGCATCTACACAGACAGTGGACGGTCGTCCAATTGTCGCAACGCATCAGAAAGTTTTTGTCTCAGAGGCAAACTGAGTGCAGTGGCATAGCAGATGGTTGATGTCCTCTTCGGTGCCGTAGACCTCGCATTCCGCACTGTCGGCCACTCTCATGTGGGCGGTATATGCTTTTGCGAAAGCTACTCTCCAGCAAAGCCGAGAAAGAAGCGAAGCTTCACGTCGACGAAGTCCAGATGGAGGTTGAAGTTCTAGTTGATTTGGTGCAGTAAAAAAAGTGCAAAGAACGACGATTCATACAATTCATTGTGAAGAGAACGGTTCATGTTTCTCTTGTTCCTTCATTGTGTGCGTGTGTGCGTGTGTGCGTGCGTGTGTGCGTGTGTGCGTGTGTGCGTGCGTGTGTGTGTGTGTGTGTGTGTGTGTGTGTGTGTGTGTGTGTGTGTGTGGTGTGTGTGTGTGTGTGTGTGTGTGTGTGTGTGTGTGTGTGTGTGTGTGTGTGTGTGTGTGTGTGTGTGTGGTGTGTGTGGTGTGTGTGTGTGTGTGTGTGTGTGTGTGTGTGTGTGTGTGTGTGTGTGTGTGTGTGTGTGTGTGTGTGTGGTGTGTGTGTGTGTGTGTGTGTGTGTGTGTGTGTGTGTGTGTGTGTGTGTGTGTGTGTGTGTGTGTGTGTGTGTGTGTGTGTGTGTGTGTGTGTGTGTGTGTGTGTGTGTGTGTGTGTGTGTGTGTGTGTCGAGCAACACACTAACAACCGAGATTAAGATTTTTAGGAGCACACAAGCTAGCCAGAGTTGTCTTACGTGTCAGAGTAAACTAGCTCCATGGCTGCGCAAATAAACTAGATTTGGCAACTCCGGCTCTTTTAAAAGACTTAATCAAAATCAAAAGCAGGAAAGACGCCGGCGGCTAACAAGCATCACTTAATAATAGAAGCAGACGCAAAAAAAGAACAGCGACATCTTCTAGCGAGTCGTTTGAAAAAAAAATCATTCGCGTTTACATTTACTTATACTTGCGACATTATGGTGCTGTATCACGATGTTGAGAAGGATAAGAAAAAAGGAGTAATGTGTCGTTTGCAGAACTTCGAAAACAAGCCGAGGTGTCGCCAAATCAAGAATCTCCGCTGGCGCCTCTCGTCTCTCCCACTCGTGTGTTCCGCAGTGCTCCCACCTCGTTTGTATCACGATGATTTATTAGCTTTCGCATTTCCGTGTTCGCGTTCATGTTGCACTCTTCAGGAGGAGAAGAAAATATGCGTACGAGATGACTTCGCAAGTTGCGGGTATCGGGAGTGGTAACAGCGCGAAATTAAATGACGCACCCCCGAAAGTTTTCTCTCATTTCGTTACCATGACAACTGCTGCGATGGAGGAAAAGAGGGGTGCTCCTTGCAGGGACTGCAAAATTAAAGGCGTGAAACTTCTCATGTAAAGTGAAAATATAGCCTTCCCTAATTATCAGCTCCCTTTGGAAATCGATGAGAGCGAAAAGAGAGGCCCCGTGCCATCAGGTTAGCTACAGGGGCGCACTAGCGAAGCTAGTAAAAAAGGGACTTCGCCTTCCTCGCCGATACCGATACAAAACAAGTGCAAAAAGTAAACACTGGGTGGCAAATAAAGGAACAAAATAAACCTAGGCAGGTCGTTCTACCGTCTCGTTTCACAAGCACCTCTACGTGACCCGCATCGGATGTGCGAAAGTGCGAGGTGAATCCAAGCACGCAGGACTTCCTTTCGCATCGGGAAGCGATATCGGTGGCACGGGTGAATAGGGGGCTGTCTGAAAGGTCACGGAGGGGAAGGAGAGACGTCGATGTGCGAAAGTTGGGAAGAAGAAAGACGAAACCAATATCGAAAAGAGTGTTTGGGATCGTCTTATTTAAAGCTCGGTCCTGCTCGCAGTGAAGCGTATTGTTCTTGTGTAAACGGCCGTATATTTGCTCGCGACTCATGACGTCAGCAGGAGGCTCTGATCCCGTTGCCGTGCATGATGCGCATCATGAGTGAAGCTCCAGACCGCACTCCAATTTGAGCATGGAACCCTGTGTATGAAAGAATTGATTACGCGGTTTGTTCTTCGTGGGTTATGGTAGCACTTTGCAATACTCGTTGAATACAACAGACTTCGAGGTAATACTTATTAAAAAATTGTAGAGAATGAAGCGTCCTGCTAGCCACAAGTCGTCTAAATAGCACTTACGTGAAAAGTAGTGGAAACATTTTCATCGGTTGTTCATATATGCATGCTTAAGAAACGCGCCTGAAGGTAACATCGCGCAAAGATAAAGATTTGCGCTTATTGTTCGGTGCGTCAAGTTAACGGGAGCTTGTGAAAGTGACCCATTTTATGTTGTGTAGAACGAAAATATTAGGGGGGACGACATATCACACTTTCTTGAAGTTCGCGAGCGTTGAAGGTGGTTGCTACACTGTCACTGTACTGTTTTCTGGGTCATTTCACCACTTCCTTTCATTGTCCTTCGCCTCCATTCTGCTCTATTTGTCCGCCGCAAATATACAATTTGTCATTCATCGTGGTTAATCATTTTCTGCTTCTACTATATGACCCTATGCTCAGTGTTCACCCTAAGTTGCTTTGGGCTAAAAACGCATCACTTTCAAGAAAGCGTGCGTCTGTGATTATTTCAGACGGGCGTAAGCTACCCTTCCACCACCGTCAGAAGGTTTTCGCCAACGGCACTCTGCTGCTTCTGGCCACCACTGTTCAGGACGCAGGAAAGTACACCTGCGTGGTTACCAACGAGCAAGGACAGAATGCCAGCGCTAGCCTTCACGTCATCGTTAAAGGTAGGCGCTGGTGAATAATACCGAAGAAGGATTGGAAAATGCACAGTCGTTGTCGAGGACAACTGTCTGCGCGAAAGAATTCGTAATTGGTAATTCGATGTGCACAAAAGAACTTTACGATAGTGTTTTGGAAAATGTCCTTTCGTCACAGTGTCACAACTGGCTCAGTATAGAAGCTACGAATGGATAAGTTGCATGTGATTATCTGTAGTTATCTGCAGATGTGACGGCGCTTTCATTACTACTAACTTTTCAGTGCTATGCCTGCAATGAAATAACCTTCAAAACTGATTAGCTAGCCAGGACAACTCGACCTAGGCAGCTGAATTTTCACCAAACTTGTGCTGAAACTCTATGTTATGGCAAAAGTGTCAAGTGGCGTATCCAATCTGCAAGGAAAGCACTTGCATATCACAAGTCGTACCACACAAAAAATTACTATTTCGTTTTTAAAAATGTCTGTGTACCCTAGAAATTGCACGGTTATATTACCAAGGCGAGCAATAGAATCACTTAATTTATGTGCACTCGCGAAGCTTACTTGTACGCTACAAGAAGGAATATAGTCTAATATGGACGGTTTAAAGAAATATTTTCGCTTAGCTAAGCAGTGGTTGCCGGCTGTTTCAACGAATTGCGATAATAAATAGCGTTAACTGCTTAGGAAAGTGCTCACGATATCACCCTTCTCTTAACAGTGGCTGAGCCTACCAACTCAGCATTAGTATATATCATACGCCTATAGAATTCTTTCCAGTGAAATAATCCACATGGTTGTGTCTGGTACTTTCCCCTTTCAACCAGCGCAGACTTCACCTTTTTTCCTACTTGTCGGCGCTTACACAACGAAGCCCCACTAAAATAAAATTCAAGGCATACTTTAGTCATTGTGTTAGCTTCGAACGATATCTATTTCTCTCTGTTATTATGTCATTTCATCGAATGTTTTGTCAGAAAATTCACAATATCCTAGATGCAACGGTGTTGTAAAGCAATAACATTACTTTATAAGCTTTTTTGTGCTGTTACAAAATATTTTTGTATCTTAATACGAAATTTCGCACTTGTAGTCCTGCAGACGAATAGGAACTGGCCATTCTAAGGGCGTTAAACCTTTTTAGCCTTATTACACAAGTAACGTCGACACAAAGTAACAAAAAAATCTCGGCGAACGGCTTCATTCTTCGATGCCGGAGGGGAAGGTCAACACAAATGAGGTGGCAGGCAGTGCATTGTGTCTATGTACGCATTGGAGAGCTGTTTCCGCTGAGCCGATACTCGAGTGTGCGGGCTGAAACAGGATCCAAAAGATCAAACTGGGATTGTGGAGTCGCAGTGGCAACGAGCTGTTTCTGATTTCCCGGCGCTGTGTAGAGTACTCTAACGAAATGGGATCTTGCAGCTCCTGGGGTAGAGGCTATTTCGCCGGCGATCGTGTTTTTAGGCGGCCCTAAAAAGGCACTAATTCAGCGCGGAACAGCGTAGAGTTCATTAGGCAAAGAAGAGGGTCTAATAAAACTAAAATAGATTGGGCGATTAGCGCGCATTGGTAACAAATAATTAAGAGGACTCACTTCGCTTCGAGAGACATGCTCTCCGAAATGTTCAGCGTCGTTTATTTTAAAGCCTGGTGATTGTGTTGTTACTGGTATGCAGATTGGGAAAAAAAGGCAACATTTTACAGACATGAGATTATGAGCGTACCGAAGAATATACATATCACCTCAGCTATCTTTAGCCAGGGCTCAAAGTACGCCGAAGCATTTTATGGCAATGCAACCAAAAGCATGCAGCTTACTTTCGGGTGTGGAGTATTTCCACCATTTTATCACGGTTAATTGCACAATTATAGATAAAGAATTGCTGTGAGGGCTAGGGAGCTAGCCAAAAGTTTTACTGGCGTATGATGATGACTAACGAAACATCCAATTAGACATTTTCTAAATTCATATCTACTTTTTATTAGCATTTTTTTGGTTATAACAAATGCCCGCGAAATGAAAGAGTAATATCACATGTCATGTTTCCGTGTGCGGGCTGTATGACAGTGCCCCCAAACGTTCCGCGCGAAAAAACACTACAGTATTTGGCCAGGTGTGCTGCCTCAGCAGATCTGTGACGATGATGGTTGCAGTGCGGTGACGCACGTGTTGCTAGCGGCAACACAAAGAATAACCGCTACGTCTCTTTATTGCTATCGAACTGTTGCGAGGGAACCATATCTTCTGTGCGCGAAACGTTAGAATGTACTACAATCACGGCGCGCCGGGATGTGCGAACCTGTGTCACGTGTCTCTTTGTGGTAAATAGCGGGCATGTGTAGTAAGCAGAAGAACACAATAAATTAACCGACATGCAAATAAAAACCGTCTTATCAAAGTTTTGAAAACTAGTGTACAGTTTTTCCCATATAATTTTGAGAGCTTCGTTGCTTCAATGTTAGTAGACTAATCGTGATTAACCAGGCTATGAAGATGTAAACGAAAAATTGGTATGACGTTTACTCCAGACGATAGCAAGCAACATGCACTTAATTGCGTTGTCAGAGAGTGCGTCAGTGAATTTTTTTTTTTTGCCTGGCTAAAAACGGCTGCTACACTCTGTTTACACTCACATTGAAGGCGACCACCCTGTGTACTTATTCGTGTAAGGCCTTCTTGCCAAAACATGTGGCTTATATAGCATAACTTAGGAAAAAGTGCTACATTGTCATTGTCTGCAGGTATGCACATACGTCTGGCTACCCACGCTCTACAATTAGCTTAGCCTAAATGACTCTTTCAGTTCCAGTGAGACAGATTCTCTCATTGTTAATGCCAGCCTGCTTTCTGACGGTTGGCTTCAACTGTGTAAAAAAGCTCAGAAAACATTGCCAAAGTAGATTCCTTCAATGACAATTCGCTCGCAACGTGCGCGTTTCTGATACCATGCAGCCACCTTATACTTAGACAGTGAGAAAAAGTTGTTTACGGGCGCGTTTACCGACTTTATTAGTTTACTGGACAGATAGATTCGGAGTACGTCTTTGTTTAGACAGTCAAAAAATACTCACGGGACGCGTAATGTTTTGAAAACGTAAATTCTAGATACGCCTTGCCTCATGCGTTTTATTTTACCCGTAGAAACCCGTAGAAGCCACTACTTCCAGAGCTGCCGTTGGCGGCTGCTTTTCGCCAAAATGGCTGCTTCATGGCGACGAAAATTTCCGTGGTTGCCATTGCTATTTTCCTGCTACTTCTAAAGTCCTCCTCTTACTTAATCCAAACAGTTTTATTTATTCATCAGTAATAAGACTGTTCATAGAGCCAATCCTGCTTTATTTGGCTACGAATATGGCAGTAGTAATAAATTGCATAGCTACCTCGCCTACTTCTCGATTGAGTTATGGCGCCTTTTTGTGTCCTCCTAACAGCAACACTGACCACTTCAAAGAGCATTTGCAAACATTGTTCGAAGTGGCCCTCTGAGCATTTATGACTCTCTCATTATTCGTTGTCATCATCACGCCTCACAATTCAAAATGTGCGCAACAACACATCAAGTCTGCTATTCATAAACGAAAATCTATGTGTTTGTTTTGTCCTAGGTGGTGCTGTCAACCAGAATCGCTCACATTTACCAGGCTATACAATAACAAGCAAACACAAAACGGTTTGAAGAAATCATTGTATAGTCCAAACGACTCCTTGCATGCTAGAGTTCCCTAGCTGAGGTTGGTATCTGTGCTAGCCCGTGCAGTGTTACTACATGTCTTGTGTAACAGCAAATTTTATGTTGTGGCAGATTATGAATCTAATTATTATTTGCATAACCGCGTCAAGCCAGCACACAATGAAGCCTACAATAACATATATAACTGACTGTAAATAACGGTACACCTAATTTGTAGTTACTAAAAAAACAACGAAAGGGCATCAAAACGATAAAGATGGAAGTGAGACAGAAAATAATTAGGCACAATCTGGGAGCCAATTCCACATACCAATTTTCCAACCTGAAGTACGCGGGGGCTACCTTGCCAACAACTTCGTTTGATATGGATGAAGCATACTTAACACCAATTTGAAAGAGTGTTGAAGTGCTCACAAGCGCCGAAGCAACACAAGAGACTCGCGACGTTTTTTTTTTTTGCACTGAAAGCATGACGTCATCCTTCGTAACTCCTAAATGTAATGCCTCTGACAATACTAATCTCCTTAATGTCTAAATATACAGTGATTTCATGTCTGCTTTGTCCTGTATTTCTCGAGGAACAAATCTTTTACTCCACCTTATCCTAGATGGGTTGTTCCGAACTCAGCCGCGCTTCTCTCCTTCCGTTTTCTATCTCCCTCTGCACAATCCAGTTCCCCCACTTATCGAGCGATTCGCCTTCGACGAGAACCTATACGAGGGCATGCGCACTCGAGTCTACTGCAACATCGCTCGTGGTGACCCATCCTGTCCGTATCACGTGGCTTCCGAGACGGACAGCCCGTGAAGTCCAGTCCCGACATCGAAGTTCGCGTGCTCGACCCCTTCTCAGTAGCGCTGGTCATCGACAGCCTGAGTCCCGAGCCACGACGGTAGCTACACGTGCGTGGCATTCCAACACTGCGGCCAAGGTCAACTACACGGCGCCGCTCAGGGTTCACGGTGAGCGATGGTCATTTACCACTTTATTCATTTGAAGTGAGAGTGGCAGCAATAAAAATTGAAAAATTAAGCAGTGTTTAACCAAAGCACAGCACTACGTTGGCCTGCACTGCAGGAAAGAAAGTAAACTATAACATGTGGGAAGAAATAAATCTTGAAGGGTGCTTCAGTTTCGGCTTCAAGAGTATATATAAACATGATATATTGATCGGGGCGCATGCGAATAACCTTCAACCTTGCCGCAAGTTCAGGAATGTTTGTGTACGTAACTTTGGCCTTTTGAAATCGCTCTTGAACGTCTAATAGAACTATAGTTGCCAAGGTACCAGTAAGTCACCAATCTTCCTCTTCAGAATTGAGGAAGTAACTACAACTCACACCTTAGATACCGCACGGCACCTTCGCAGCTGCGAAGTTTGTAATTTGTCGGAGGATTCAAAGCCCGCGCTTGCTGTGGAAGTCACTTGTTTTGACGTCTACTGCGATTCAGCAAATCTGCCGAGCAACATTACAAGCTTGAAAGTGACCCTAGCTCCCAGTACTTACTGCTTTTATACATTTTTTAAAATCAGACAGTTGCAAGCACTAGTCATTTTGGGCCATTCCCGCGCCATCTGTGTCAATGCGGTTATCTTTCTTTTTTTTAGCGATATCTTGAGGAAGCTTCATGGGGTTCATTACACAACGGGAGCACTCGAGCACATTGCTTCTTTCGCCATATTCATAAGTGGCCGTGAAGAAGCCTTCACTATAGTGAAGCACGTCAAAGATTTTTCCATTAGCAACAGTAAATGGCGTATGTAAATGACTCGCTGTTCGCATGATGAAGGGTGTGTGTGTTTGTGGTCGTGTACTTTAAGGTGCCGCGTTGTAAGATCCAATCTCCTGTCAGGCACCGGAAGAAGTTTCTTCAGGACTATATTTTGTTGGGGGGCTTTTATTCGCACGACTGCAACGACGAGCGCTAAAACCCTTCGAGAGTACTCATATCAATAATCACTGAACTGTAGTTTGCATGCACCTGTATGGGAGAGCGCCATCTATTGTGTGGTAATCAAGACGCTACCGGGTACGCCGGAGGAAGGTATTGCCTTAGCTCATAAGAAGATTCGTCTCAAATAACAAACGTCCGGATTCTAGCAAAAAAAAATCACAGCATATCCACGAAGTGAATGATGATGAGTGGGCGAAGCTCCGGAGGTAAACCTTGTAAACCATGAATCCTCCGTACATTTTGCCCACTCGATTTTATTGCAACGCTCCCCCTAGCGTACGTCGCCACACTATATCGAATGATGACACGCGCCATATGTGGCATCATTCCTATTTTATAACACCTCGCATCTTTCATAATCAACTACACGTACCGCCGTCTAGTTTATAACATCTTGCATCTTTTGGATGGATGGATGGATGGATGGATGGACGGACGGACGGACGGACGAGCGGACGGACGGACGGACGGATGGATGGATGGATGGATGGATGGATGGATGGATGGATGGATGGATGGATGGACGAACGGATGGATGGACGGATGGACGGATATGGCTGTACCCTTTAGATCGGGCGGTGGCTAGCGTAATACTTAATGCCGTCAGCTACAAGTACCGCCATCTAGTGAACACTGCAAGAACTGAACGAGAGGTGGCTACATACAGGGGACGCACAGCCCACGCCTTAAGGAGCTTCGCTCCTAAAATTGAACCCCAGCATTTTCCGCAGCAATGAAACATTCTACCACAGAGCCACGCCACGTCTCAGGACAGCATTGAAAAAAATAGACGCTAAAAGTCGTAAAGCATAAATTGTGGTTGCATTGCTGGCGATAAATTGGCTAACATTAGATATGTACTTATATGATACAGTCGTCCCATTGGGTTAACGTCACTTGTAGTTAAGGGTCAATCACTGTAGTTGATCTATGTAGCACTGTCCGAAGTTACCATTCTCTCTAGCACAAGCGCTATATATCACTTTACTGCTTCTGGTGTTGCTAGTTCCTATGTTGCTCTTGGAATGGTTACGCAACTCAAACATCTGGGTATAGAAAGAATATGCGACCATTCAATGTATGTGTGGGCGCATAACTTTTTACGTATGCTTAGCGCCACTTCGTTTTGTTTCGCCTAGTAAAACATTACAACAGAGTCTTCCTGCAACCGCATGCTTCGTATATTATTGATTCCGGAGGTACGTGGGATCTGCCTAATTTATTTATCATAAGCAGTTCGACGTCTAGAAGATTTTAAGGGTGCCTCCGTTATTCTATATTGGCAGCTTATGCGCTGGCATGCTAATAAATAGAACGTTGTAACCACAGGCCTTAGCAACACCTCATCTGGATACACAAAAATGTGTAATGAAGCCACATTTACTCCTATTGATTCTGGGTCTCTTTAATACGTAAGTTCCACCTCAGTGATCGGCTGCTAAACTCCCTACAACGTCTTGTCTTAAGGTTCGCATCCCAAACTTTTTCGATAAAACTAAGTTTTACGCCCCCATGTACATACTCTCCTTTGTTAAAAACTGATATCGAAACACCAAATGCCACTTGAAGGTAATGCTGTCATCATCGTTGTCTGCCTCATTACAGTCATCGAACTGCGGTGATTATATATGGCTATGCGAGATACGGGACAATCTAAAGCCTTCAAAGAGCCGCCACCATCTACTCTCGCAAAGTACTTGAGCATTATAGCTTATCAATAGCTTTGTAGATCATGCCATCACTGCCGATGTTGTATGCAGAGCCGTAGAAAAAAGCCGAGTTTCGTAAGCAAGTTTCCGCAGCAATGAATCATTCTACCACAGAGCCATGCTACGTTTTAAAACAGCATAGAAAAAAAATAGACCCTAAAAGTCATTAAGCATAAATTGTGCTTGCATTTCTGGCGATCTAACTTTCTAACATTAGATATGTACTTATATGATACAGTCGTCCCGTTGGGTTAACGTCACTTGTAATCAAGTGTCAATCACTCTAGTTGATTTATATAGCACTGTCCAAAGTTACCATCCTCTCTGGCACAAGCGCTACATATCACCTTACTGCTTCTGGTGTAGCTAGTTCCTATGTTGGTCTTGGGATTGTTACGCAATTCAAACATCTGGTTATAGAAAGCATATTCGACCATTCAATGTGTGTGTGGACGCATACCTTTTTACATATGCTTAGCGCCGCTTCGTTTTGTTTCGCCTAGTACAACATTATAACAGAGTCGTCCTGCATCCGTATGCTTCGTATATAATTGATTCCGGAGGTACGTTTGATCTGCCTAACTTTTTTATCATAAGCAGTTCGACATCTAAAAGATTTTAAGGGTGCCTGCGTTATTCTATATCGGCAGCTTATGCACTGGCATGCTAATAAATGGAACGTTGTAACCACAGGCCTAACCAACACCTCATCTGTATACGCAAAAATGTGTAATGAAGCCACACTTAGTCCTATTGATTCTGGGTCTCTTCAATACGCAAGTCCCACCTCAGTGATCGGCTGCTAAAGTCACAACAACGTCTTGTCTAAGGCTCACATCCCAAATTTTGTCGATAAAAACTAAGTTTTCCGCCCTCATGTACATACTCTCCCTTGTTAAAAACTGATATCGAAACACCAAATGCCACTTGAAGGTAATGCTGTCATCATCGTTATCTGCCTCATTACAGTCATCGAACTGCGGTGATTATATATGGCTACGCCAGATACGGGACATTCTAAAGCCTTCAAAGAGCCGCCACCATCTAGTCTCGCAAAGCACTTGAGCATTATAGCTTATCGATGGCATTGTGGATCGTGCCATCACTGCCGATTTTGTATGCAGAGCCGGAGAAAAAAGCCGAGTTTCCGTAATCAGCGTCCCTTCGAAGGAATGCGCCACTGCCAACCTCTGAAATTGTGACGACATCATTGTCGGGGGCACTTCCTCAGTATCGCATACAAATTGAAGTCAGGAGCTCACGAAAAAGCGCCGAGAGTTCGCACTTTCTGAGAACTTCCGCGACCTTCTTTTCAGGCTTTCTGAAGCCCTGCTGTTTCACAAGCTCCGCAACTCGAACTCCAATCATCGTCTCACAAGGACGCCGTTCCAGGCGAACACGCGGGCGGCCAGACTTTCATACTAGGTAATCTCGAACAGATTAACGCGAGAACGGCGGCAAACCGGCCACCTACATTTGTGATGGCCGATGGCTATGCGTGAGTGGGCATACACGAAGTTGCATTACGCCACCATAATCGCCATCACGTCGCCGGCGCCGGAAACCGAGCGGCGCCACTCAATTAGGGTGACATTGGCGTCGCGCCATTAGTTAGCATTCTGCTTAACGAGCTTGCCCGACTACCAAAGCAGGTGGCGAGATGCGCTCTCAGCGCATAACGCGCGCGCATATTCTGAAACAACGGAGAGACAGGAGACTGCGTGGACAGCTTCCCCCATCTTTTACTTCCTGTCGTTTCGTCAGTACTGTTCACTGCTTCTTGTTGTTTATATTTCTCTCTTGCTGGAATATGGCAGGCGATGCGCTTACCGACCGCCATCGGCGTGTTCCTTGTCCAAGCTTGCAACGTGTTCTTCACGGCTCAATCGTTTTCTTTTTCATCTGCAATCTTGCACTTCACACGCAACATTCACACGCAATCTTTTTGCTGCGTCAAATGCACTTCATCCACAAGCTTGCCTTACATTCCAGAATCGGGGTTTTTCTACGAGGAGCTGCCGTCTATAAACGGTGCCGCAATTTTCGTTTTTGTTCTTGTTTTTTAATGCCATAGCGTTAGAGAGCTCACGTCGCAGAAACTCCGCCATTGGCGTCGGCCCCATTGGTTGTGAGCGAAAAATCGTCCGTGAGCGAAAAAGCTCGTTACAGAGATCGCCGCGGGAGGCTGCTGCTTGTCCACGCGTGCGGGCGCGATCACACTGAGAAAGCCGCGAATTCGAAGAAAAAAAAAGAAAGAAAAAAGTGCTCAAGGTCAAAAGGTGCGATATACATAGTTT